CGCTTTAAAATCCTTGAGCTTGTTAATAAAAAATTCGTTAAAGTTTTACAACATATGAAATCGATCATAAAACAAATTCCAAATTTCAAATTTGGTCTTCCACATGCCCATATTCGTAGGAGAATTACGTCATTCGAAATTCGATGGCTCTGTACCGTTGTTTTATCACAATGCGAGAAATATACATACATTTATGCAGATTTTTCATTATTTAATTTCTTCAAATATAATGCAGGACTCTAACATTGGGTGGCAACAGTTTGAAAAGTGGAACGGACGTTTATAGTGATTCAACGCAAAATCGCAAAACGAAAACAATAGACCTTCAGGGACAAAGCCCGTTTGAACTAATAAAAATTTGAAAGGTTTCAGATTTTAAATTATGTCCAAACGGGCATTTTTTAACATTTTGTGTGTTACATTTATTTATTAAATATCATGTTTTTCGCGCTTAAATAATTTTAAAATGAGTATATCTTTCGAATTTTCGATACACAGTCTCGCGCTGTAGATATTTTTTTCCGGTACAGAGTTGCCATTGCTCTCTTTGAAATCTTTGAGTTTGTTAATCAAAAAGTCGTTAAAGTTTTACAAAATATGAAATCGATAATAAAACAAATTTCAAATTTGGGCTTCTAGATGCCCATATTTGGGTGGAAACGTACGTTATTCAAAATTCGATAGCTCTGGGTACTGTTTCATCACAATGTTTCATTTTATCACAATGTGAGAAACATACATACATTTATGCAGATTCTTTATTACTTAGTTTCTTTAAATATAATGCAGGACTCTAACATTTGGTGGCAACAATTTGAAAAGTGAACCAACATTTATAGTGAACCGACGCAAATTATACTGAAACGAAATTAATAATCCTTCTAGGCAAATTGCCCCTTTGGATATGCATGAAAAATATGTAACGCCTTAGCTGGGAATCGAACCATGGACCTCTCAATTACGCGCTGAGTGTGCAGACCACAGCACGAAGGCGGGAGAAATACTAATTAACTAATTAATGTACATAAAACGTTACAAAATTTGCTAGTCGGTTAACGAATTGAAGAAAATTGGTCGCAAAATAGTAACTGAAATATTTTTTTACTTAATTGTCACATATACGTACATTAACAATATTTTTTAATTACTGATATGAGATTCGAAACTTTCCAACAATTGTCAAAGAATGTCTCTTTCTATTAGAAGTAAGTCCTCAAAGTTCTCCACGAGACATTTGAAAATTTGTCCGTGTTTGCCAATTTTTTTTTTTTTTTTTTTTTTTTTTTGTGGTGTGTGTGTGTGTGTGTGTGTGTGCTATAAAATTACTACCTTACTCATCATTTAATTCCATATCTCACGCAAAATTGTGTCCGAAAAGCATTCCGTGTTTTTGCTTATTTACTGCGCCACGTAAATGAAAGAGAAATGAGTTTCAGGAATAATCCCAGTTTCCGCTCTGGTATCCTTTCTGAATGGATATTTCTTTATCAGTATGCTTACAGAAACCGTAGCTTGGGCATGACGCCTGAAGTGCTTTGTGAGTGGTCGTTCAACATTGCTTACTGCAACATTCCCTGGTCGCTTCTATTTTACTGTCTTCGTCATTCATTTCCTCTAATTCATTCTAGTTTATTCTCTTCGTTCTAATTTCTGTTTCTCTTCATTTTAACTTTTCAGTATGCGTTCCATTACGGATAAAAGATAATACTTTGAGCTTCGAATCAGCAAATTAACTTCGAGAAAAATTTCTGTTTTCCAAAAGCCTCCAAAAAATAAATCACCTATAATTTCTTTTATAATATTTTTAATTTGTATTTGTAATTTTACTATACGTATCCTGCACGGTTTTCGGGAATTCTTCGGTATTAAGTGAGGTATCACCAATTTATGTCATTTAGAAATATAAAAAATATCTGTAAAACATTTTAAATTACACGGTTATGTAGTGGATACCTTCTTGAAAAACGTCTAAGGAACTACTTGAAAGGACAGCACGTTTAATTACATTTAAAGTATTTACATTTTTAATAAATATCGGGTCAATCCATAAGTTCGCGCGCATTAAGAGTATGCGTGGAATTCACTATGACGCATTTAATAAAACAATACAATTTTGAACCTGTTGAAACTTGTCATCGTCTAACTAACGTATTATTCAGTTCATCACCAACTTTCGTAAATATCGAACGCATTTTTGCACCCATAGGAGATGAATATAGATAATCAGTACAAACGTACTGTGCTACATTTTTTATTTTCGTGTGGTGAATCTGCCAGGTTTGCAGCGATAAAAATTAATGTGTATGCATGGTGAATACACTATTAGTGTAAGGACGGCCCAGAAATGGTTTAAAAAATTTAAAGCTGAAAAATGTAGCATGGATGATGAGCCCCATTCAGGACTTTTTGAACTGTTAGAACCAAATCAAACGATTAATTCAGAAGTTTATAGTGAACAACTTTGCCGTCTAAACTCCGAATTGATCAAAAAAAAAATTTGGGCTTCCAGATGCCCAAATTCGCAGGAGGATTACGTTATTCATTACTAAATTGGATAGCTCTAGGTACCGTTATTTTATCACAAAGAAACATACATACATTTATGCAGATTCTTCGTTATCTAATTTCTTTAAATATAATACAGGGTGATAATATTGGGTGGCAACAATTTGAAAAGTGAAACAACGCTTATAGTGAATCAATACAAAATGCCGAAACGAAATGAATAGTCCTTCAGTGCAAATTGCTCTTTTGGACTAAAAATATTTAATTATACGTGCAAGTGAAAAATTTCCTTAATGTTTTCTTGGCATAGGCCTAGATGGATGCAGGTCCATTAGTCACTGGATCGCTGGATACTAGCAATTCAATCCGGATTTAACTACCGACGAACGGAATACCTGCGTAGGCGTTTCGTGGTTTTCGCCATGTATAAGGTTAAAACGAGCTAGTTCCATTAGAATGTTCTGTATAAAGGCATCTCTTCGTCTAGTGCTTTGCCATAATTTAAATAATCTAATCCTATTCTGGAATATATAAATAATTTGTTAATATGTCATACATTATTTTGAATTTTCTTTACATATACCCTACATTGCTATACAATTTATGGTCAGAATACTATTAATTTTCATGCATTTTTTGCTGCATTACTTGATATGTTTGGAATCAATTATTTGTTTTTCATTATTTCTTTTCACGCATATACATTCCAGAAAAGTTCGCAAGGACAAATACCATTACATCAAAGATAAACCAGGTTTAACTCACAATTTTATCGCCTTACCGATAGTTAAAAAAGGCGGACATTTTATAATCTCCAGACGTTTATTCAAGATTCTTTCTGTTTATTAAATGATAATACAGCTTTTGAATGAGTCCAAGGATCAATTCTTTTCCCGCTCCTGTATAGTTATTTTTAAAAATACTCAGCATGATTTTCTTGATAACTTTATGCCTATTATTGGAGAAGTTATAAAAGCAATGAAAATCAGTATAATAGTATCAAAATCAGTATCAAAAAAAAAAAAATCTGAAAGATTTCAGATTTTAAATTACGTCGAAAGGCGCGTTTTTTTTTTTTTTTTTTTTCCCGTTTTCTGCGTTACCTTTATTTATTAAATATCATGTTCTTCGCACTTAAAACATAAAATTCAGTTCAAGAGCAATGTCTCAAAATAATTTTAAATTGAGCATATCTTTAGAATTTCCGATACACAGTTCCGCGACCACTGGAGATAAAATGGTCCCCCCCCCCACCGTAGAGTGTTGCCATTGCTAGCTTTTAAATCGTTGAGTTCGTTACTCAAAAATTCGTTAAAGTTTTACTAAATATGAAATCGATAATAAAAACAAATTCCAAATTTCAAATTTGGTCTTCCACATGCCCATATTCGTAAGAGGATTACGTCATTCAAAATTCGATGGCTGTATGAACCATTGTTTTATCACAATGCGAGAAATAGTTATACATTTATGCAGATTTTTGATTATTTAATTTCTTCAAATATAATGCACGACTCTAACATTCGGTGGCAATAGTTTGAAAATGAAACGGGCATTTATAGTGATTCAACGCAAAATCGCAAAACGAAAACAATAGTTCTTCAGGGACAAAGCCCCTTTGGACGAATAATTAATTTCCCAGGAGTAGTTTCGGAGGTTTAAATGTAGATCCTTCAAAACTTCAAATTCTACTGGAATGGTTGGTGAAAATTTGGTAGGATCTCTGCCAGATTCCACAGTCATTATATAAAATAAGTCAATTAATTACGTAATAAGTAAATAATACGTACCTGAAAAATAAATGTTTCCTTTTTCTAAATATATACAACTTAGAGATTACCTTTCGGTTCTTCACTTATAAAAGTTTTCGCCTAATATTTTGCCGAACAAATTCTGCCGATTGCTAAACAACTGAGATCAATTTAACTCACAAAAATGCTCAAAAAATATGCTGAAAGTGTGAAATGGCAGCGAAGATCTTTGCAAACAACCCACGGAGACGGGAAAACATCCTTTGGGGGGAAGAACGCATCAGAACTTCTCACTTCAGCTTGCGCCTGCGCATTGATGATTAACGTAACCCGCGCCCCAGTGGGGGCGAATGAGGAAATGTTTACTAGTTGTCAAAACATTTATGTCAAATTTGAGGAAAATGGAAGCGACAGATGTCAGGTTAGCGGTGGCGAATGTTGTATGTCATTACATAAAAGTTTCATAAAATGAGTTACTAGGCTCATGGTAGCTCAGAAAGCAGCTGTATTATGCAGTCAGGTGTAAAAAGTTGGAAGTAATTGCTTTTAAAATAAATAAGTTATCACAATTCTTGCAACAGATTCGAAGATCTTACGGTTTTTTAAGGTGTAAGAGTTCCCTTAACTATCTAGATTAGATTTTTAAAAATATAAATCTTTAAGATAAATATATGGAATTCATTGTTGTGACCGCTGATTGCTTTGATTGTAAATGTCATTAAAAAAACAAATCAAACTGAATAAACCAGTTTACTGAAATTATATCATTAAAACTGGGCTCACAAAGGTCGACTTACATGAAATAGTTAAATCCAATCATTAAAATCATTATAAAGTGAAATTAATTGATAAAAAATATTTTGAGGTTCCAAGATCAGCTGAACAGGCTGCCTTATGCTCCAAATGTTCTCTTTTACCCTCTCGTTTTGTAGGTGAGTTTTCTTACTGTCGGGGATCGTTTACCTGCGATCTGAACAATTTCATTCTTGCTCTTCCTTTTCCCAGTAATCTGCTACATTCTTCAGGTTAAACGCTTCGTTATCGAGGTGAGCTACTTCATCCTCTATGTCGACTGCTCTCTTCTGCAAAGGAGTTACTTCAAACTGGTCAGGCAGTCCGTCAACAGCAGTCCCATTCTGGATGGATGTCTCATTCTGTGTGGACGTTTCGTATTGAATATACGTGGTACTGTTCATACATCGATATATGTATGCAAAACTATTATTTTCTAAAAGCCTAGTCAAGTATTTCTTGCACCATGGAGCTAATTCGCAACTGTAAAACGTCTCAGTGTGAGAAAGATCACTATCATATGTGCATTCCAAGTCATCTGGGCATTCACAACTATAAAAGAAATAAAGATTTTAAACAATGGTTAGTTCCTTATAAACAATGTCAAATTTAGGTAAAATATGCGTACTGTTTGGTGGAATATAACGCCGTCTCTTAATACTTCCCTCAGGAGGAAAAAAGTTGCTTAAGCACAAATTATTTATTTAGTTAGTTTTTATTCCAAATCTGGAAGGCCTCTTGTCTATTTACCACAGATGTGATTTTTTCAAATCATGTTGTGTTTATGAACGTATGTATTTTCATTCATCTTTATCATCATAAAAAGTAACATTTGCAACCAGGAAAAAATTTCATACTTCATATTTTCATTCTTTGCGTTTTAGCTAATGTGTTGTATTATTCAAAGGAGGTGCGCCCTAAATAGAGTATCATCGATTATATGTTATTCCTTTATTTTTGGCCTCATCAGTGGCCGAGGGGTTAAGACTATTAGAAGTTCGATCTCAGACGTCGCTGCAGAGTTGGTTTTCGCGGTTTTTCCCGATGTGTAACGTGAATACGAGCCAATTTCCCGTAGAACGTCCTCTACGAAGCCGTATATTTTCTTAAGGAGTTAGCCAGGGGCCGAGCGGTAACGTCGCTGAACACTTGTAATTCGGTCCGAGGTTCGAATCCCGCGAACGAGCTGGCTGCATGGGTGTTTTCGTGGTTTTCCCCATGTGTAACGTGTATACGAGCCAGGTTCTCTTAAAAAGTCCTCCACGAAGGCATCCCTCCCCTTAGGCAGATAGCCCTAGTGTGCTTTGCCATCATTAAATGCAACACCACCACACCATTTCTCCAATGCGTTAAAAATATGTTTACTTGGTTTTTCATCTGTGCCATATGTGGTAATTTTTTCCACTACCATTCAGAGAGAATTAAATCCAGAGATGAGGGATGATTTTGCTTCGTTAATAATACGCACAAACTTATTTACATATAATATAGTGGTTACAAACATTATTATTAGGCACACGCCTTCATTATTGTTAGGCTTAACATCTTCGTTCTCTTCTTCGAAGGCATCCCTCCCTTAAGGCAGATAGCCCTCGAGTGCTTAGCTGTAATCTAATAAACCAAACCAACCTTAAGGAGTTAGCTCTTTTCAGCTTTACCAGACTAATAAACATAACTAACCTTCATTTTTGTTTTATTGCGTTTGTTATTTATTTGTTTTTATTACATTATTATGTTCATGTTATTACTATTTTGTTTAAACTCGCTATACTTACATTGATTTTGTAGTCGAAGCCGTAATAATTATAATCGAAATAAATTGAATAAGTGAAATAAATTGCCGTTTAATTATAATTGAAATGAATTGAATGATATGAAATATGTCATTCAGTTTAAAGGTTTTAGTGCACACGTTTCTGATAAATATGTCACACAGAATTGAAACTAATAATTTTTGAATTTCTTTTAAGAACTAAATATTTTGATTATGTTTACAAAAGGGCGAAGTGATTCTTTGTTGAAATTCCAATCATTAACTCATTGTTTTCTAAAAGCGTGTGTGTTTCTAAATTTATTTATGTCGCAAAATAACAATAAATTCATCCAAATGTCTAAAGCTATCAAAAATGACTTCAATTAAGCCCCTTCTGTTTCTGTGATAACCCCTCCCCTCCTATATCCTGTGAAGCTGAACTAAATGCAATCTGCTTTATCTTGAGATTTTTTCAGTTACCTAGATGTTAAGGAATGCGAAAATACTGAGAACCAAACAGAATTAAATTTCTTATTAAGGTATACTGCGGGGGAAAAAAAGGAACAGTTCTATATCTCCCGTTCTATATCGCCCGTTCTACTCGGCAGATTGATAATTTTTACATTTTTTCGGAAAAGCTTTTGAATTATAACCTATAAAAGTTTTGCCATCCTCTTAAAGTAGATGTATTTCTAAGCATACCTGCAAAAAGTTAGAGTTTTTTATTCAAAATTTCCTGAGATATACGTTAATTGAAATAAATTAAGAAGTTCGCTAAGTGAATTATTCTTGGCGCAAACTGAAAAAAATTCTCCAAGATAAATTTTAAAATTTATCAATGAATATCTCACCGAAAATTACAAAATTTAATATTTAGACATAATTTGAGTCGTAGAATCGAAATATGAAAAAAAAAATGGGTATGTTATTTCAGAAAAAGTCCGATTTTGTATCAAAGTACTTATGTTAGAACAAAGCTGTATAAAAATAAGAGTTTCAGTAACTGTCGCAGTGCTCCAAAATGTATTGAATGACTAAATTTCGAGTCTTCATATGTACTTACTCTGTATAATTAAACCCTTTTATTCTGTCATCGTTTCGGTCGTATTCTATATAAGCACATCTCTCATTTTCATTACAAGTCCGAGCTCCCGTTTTCTGTAAAACGCAAGGAAAATAGATTAGACTAAAAAACTTCTCTACATGAAACCTATTACAAAGGGTCATTCAAAATTCACAAGACAAACGTTAACCCTTTCAGGGGCGCTGTTTTCGCCTTCAAACCGCATTTTCAACATTTTTTTAAACTTAGAAAATATGGTTTCATTTTCTCAAAATCGCTGCTAAAATTAAATTACTTCTTAAAGCTGATAACAGATGGCAGCACCAAAACTTTCTGGATAGCCATTAAGGAGTAGTAAAGTTTACTAAATAAACCTTTTTTCTTTTTTATTTTTTTGTTCATTTTGTCCAGGTCGTACGTGATGCGTTATTTTGCGAAGTAAAGGTAAGTACCCACTATTAGTAGTTATAGGTAGCACTACCGGGCGTCCTTCATTGCAGTCGAATTTTCTGCTCATTCAGTGATGCGATAATTTTTACAGTCGAAGGTGTTTATAATGTGCGTAACTGTCATATATAGCCAAAGTCAGATCCACAGAAAGTTGTGAAGATATATTTATTTATTTTGACTAATAGTTAATTTTTAGTTAAAGCTACTTTTCTTTCAGTCTCCTTTTCACACACGCTTCCCACGCTTAAATCTGTCTAGTGCGCGTTTATTCAGATTAAGGAAGAAATAAATGATATTTAAGCGGAGGTTTCAGAAGCTGATTTTAGAGCGTGCTGTGCCTGCTTGAATCCACGTTGTTATCGAGACTTACTAGAGATTTGAGTATGTCGCGTCGAGTGCTTCTTGCTATTAAGCTCATATCGCTGACTTCTGCGAGCCACAGCCTTCCTGCGCTTTTTCTTTATCCTGCGAGTGGTTAGACTAGCCTAATTACATTTTATTTTAAATTCAACATTACTTATTTAAGTTAAGCCAGAATGTTGGCTTATGTAAACCCAAGTGAGGTCGACTGTATGGCAATTCTATCACTTCTTTGAATAAAAGGGCTATTTACATCTTTCTTCTGACTCTCTCTGCCTGCTTTTAAAGACCCGAGGATCATTTCTCTACTGTTTTTCTATAGTCTGTTACCAAAGAACACGAGACTCTAAGCAGTATGTCCAAATTCCCTCCAAGAGCGATTATCTATGAATATATGAGCATATATTACAAAAGATTTCCTGTCTGTCCCATATCTACTACCAACGGAACTCGATGGCGCAATCTTTTTTCGGAAGAGATTTTACCAGAATAGCTTGAAGAAATTTAGATTATTAGGTAAACGTTTACAATTGGGTGCCCCTTGTTTTTTGGCGATTCTTTTTTGACGCCAAGAAGGCACAATTTCAAGATGGCCGCTACACAAAACCAAAATAAAAAGTGAAAGAATTGCACAAACTCTGTGTCCATGTACACATCGATCTGTTTTCATTAAAAAAAAAAAAAAAAAAAAAAAAAAAAAAAAAAAAAAAAAAAAACCCAGAATTGCACAAACTAGCCATTGCGCACTGTCTTAAAGTTGTCCATGGACACATCAATCTATTTTCATTTAAAAACAATCAGGAAGCTAAAACAAAGTTAAAACTATCATGGTAACCATAAATGAGGTTTCATTGCCAAAATTTAAACAAAAAATTATCGCTAATCGAAGGGACACCCAATTCTACACTAGAGCCACGAGGGCTCTACACTCTCAATTCTACACTAGAGCTACCAGAATCTCGTTTCTCAGAAAAGATCCGTCTAGCAGGAACCGTCGCTAGATGTGATAACCCCTTCAGTCTCGATCCTATTCCGGTGCCTTTTTATGTTTTTAAACACACGAGGATCTTTCTTTCCCTATAAACATCAGTTTCAGTTCTTCACGCAAGGAGAAAAAATATTTCTTTATTCATTACAGCCAATATAAATAGATTTCTTACCAACATATGCAAGTATACTTTAAAGCAACATTCGGAAATTCATAGAAGTCTCATGCCAGATGCAAATTTAATCTTGCATCTGTGATCAAGAGATGAATTCTGAGATCCTAATGTTTTACAAATTCTTGGTAACTTTTAAATACACGAATACTTAACAAATACGATCCCAAAATACGAAACTTTATGTCATCTAAAACATTTTTGTAATTGCAGGGCCAACAGTTGCGAAAACAGAGGTCGGCTAAGGACTTTTAAGAACTTTTTTTTTTTTTTTTTGTGTGTTGTGTGTAATATGAATAAATTTCAAATGTAGCAAAAACAAATATCACACTTACTGCTAAAGTCATTTTTAGAATTTGAGGCCCTTCAAAAGCATGAACAGAAAGGAAAGGAAAGACTGATGATATCAGGATCAAGATAAACTTCATCAAGAAAACCCTATAAAAGGAAATGAACAGTTGATGATATTTTAAATGTCGACTACATGATACACTTAAATAAGTTCGTGCGAAGGCTGTGAAGATTGGTTTACCTGAAATGTATTGTTTTCTGCTACCTTGAATGGATTTGCAACTAATTTAAATAATATGACACAAGATCTGAAATTCAATTATCAATAATATAGATAATTATATTTATAAATTATAAAGGTAAAATTTCAATTATGAAATTTAGCATGGATGTAACATAACCTGACATATCTCAAGGGGATAAACAAGCAACGCAAATAAACCGAACCTACAGGTGTTTCTTTACAGTGATTCTACTCCGAGAAAAAGTAATTCATTTCCCTTGAAATGTTCTTTCTTCGCACACGGTCATTTTGCAAACATACTACATAATCATAGCAATTTCAGGATTAGTACATTAACGGCATTTTTTCCGAGAGATAAATCGGCTGTTGATCCTCCACGTACCAGATAAATACGCAGCAATTCATATTCATCTCTCTGAAAATTTGCTTGGCGATTCCATATTTCTCATCACATGCAATAATTTGTTTCATCCCTTGTTTACTAAGAAAACTGTTTATACATGTTAATACTTGTTAATTTTTGTAAAGTGTGTGATTTTTGTGATGTTGACCATTTTTTCCGAGAGATAAATCTGCTGTTGATCCTCCACGTACCAGATAAATACGCAGCAATTCATATTCATCTCTCTGAAAATTTGCTTGGCGATTCCATATTTCTCATCACATGCAATAATTTGTTTCATCACTTATTTACTAAGAAAAACGTATATACATGTTCCTACTTGTTTATTTTTATGACGTGCGTAATAATTGTTTATATCGCTGCAAGACAATCCTTTCGTGGAAATGTTTAGAAAAAGCACAAGTCTCCTAAATTTAAATTAAAAAATATATGGTCAGGTTAGGTTATTTGAATACGTCAAAGCTGTGAGGCTTCTTTGTTTGAGAGAAGGTATGCTTTCATGGAGGAGATTTAAAGCAAAGTGGCTTATATTCCCGATATGCATAAGAAAACCACGAAACCCAAGCATGCAGCCAGCCCTTTAGCTGTGCTCGAAACCAAACTAGGTCGAACTTCCAATATTCAACGGTCTTAACCGCTCGACTACCGATGGGGTTAAAACATACGCGGATATTTTTTATGTGCTACTCAACAACAATCTCTTACTTTGTCAAGTAAGTAATCCATTGACTATTAATTCCTGACTGTTATGCCAAAGCTAAAAATGCTACAATTGAATGAAGTCAAAAAATAAATTATTTGTTGTATACGTATTTTAAAATTAAATAATTGACTGGTCTGATGGATCCAAATCTTTTATCTGGTGTGGCAACTTCACTGGTAGTATTTAAATTCAAATGCCTACTGAAATATTTAAATGAAAAATTGAGTTATTATAGTTGTTTCCGTTTCGAATCCACGTATAAAATTTTAACCAGTTATTTGTTTTAACCAGCTTTTGTTAACTGGTAGAAAATGTTAAACTGCCTGTATCATATCACACAATAAACTAAAATAAATTCAATAGAATTATATTATCCTCTTGTTAGTTTTGGGGAATATAAGTTTTTGGCATATATACCTGAAAATCGAACATCCTGGCGAGAACAAAGTCGATTTTTCGAATTTTCTGTTCCAAAAGATCTACGAGAGCCAGCATTTCGACTATAAGAATACGACAGTGTGCGTGTGTGATTATGGCAAAGCCTCGAGGGCTATCTGCCTAAGGGGAGGGATGCCTTCGTGGAGGACTTTCTAAGGGAAACTGGCTCGTATACACGTTACACATGGGGAAAACCACGAAAACGTCCATGCAGCCAGCCCGTTCGCGGGATTCGAACCTCGGACCGAACTACCAGTGTTCAGCGACTTTACCGCTCGGCCGCTGGGGGGCTAAGAATACGACAGACTTAGAAATTTAGTAAAGCAAGACGATGCGTGTTTTCAGAATTCCTTAATTATTCTAGTTTAATTTTTGAAAAAATTTGACCCCTGATAAGTGTCTTTTTGAATTATTAAATTAGGATTAATTAAAATGCAGTTTGCGGCAAGAAAGAATTTTTACTTGTTTTTTAATTCTTAATTTTAAAAAAATTTGGAAAATTCATATTATTTTATTTTGCTTAATTTTAATTTTTATTTTATTTGCTAAATATTTTTACTAGTTACAATAGCCCTTACATTTTTACTAGTTACAATAGCCCCGTATTAGACTTTCCTGGATAATATAATCATTAATTTTTGAAAAATTAATATATGTATGTAATATATGTAATAACTAACAGAAATAATAATAATATATATATATATATATATATGTAATCAGAGGAGGAAAACACTTTTATTCAAAATAAATTTGTGGAAAAAAAATCAAAGCTCAAAAGTAAAGATTATTAATTTTCAAGATTTACAGAAATTAGAAATTTAATTTATTCAAATAAGTTTATAATTTTTAGGATTTTCCAAGTTTGGTATATAAGTAAAATGAATTCGCTATTTCGTTATAAAATTTTTTTAATTGCTTCAAAACGAAGAACTGAAATCGCAGAGAATACCAAGGTAATTAAAAAAACAAATTTGGCGAAATAAAAATGTATGCTAAAAGAATGTTTATGGTGGTATAAGGTTAAGGTGATTTATTATGAAATGATTAAGTTTTATTTATACGAACAAAACTTTTACTTACTTCATGACCATCGCCTTTTTTCTGTGTCGAGATATTAATGCACTTAAAACTCAGGTGATATCAGTGATGCTGTTAATGCATCCTCTGATATAACTTTATATAAAGTATCTTGTGATGTATTACTACGGAGAATAATCATGTTGCGTAACGTCCAGCTGTGGTGGCCAATCGAGAATGCCCAAACTTTGACAATGCAATCCAGCTGTGAGGCAGATGTACATAGTTTGGCAAAAACTACAGTAAATAGGAAAAAAAAAAAAACCTTATGACATTTTCCATTGACAACTTCTTTGATTTTCTGTCATAAATCATAACTTTTTAACAAATGCATTTACTAATTGAATCCTTTTTAAATTATCCTTTGAGTAATATTTTAGTGAACTGCATATGCCTGGTGATAAACATACGTTTTTTAAACTCATGAAAATTTATATTTTTGATATTCAGCCAGTAAAACGTTATGGTACTTTTCTGCATAGCAAAAGATGTGATGGCGTACTTGGAACTTTATTTAGAAAAAGAAAAAGAATGAAATTCTGTGTTAATGATTTTTAATGGATTCCTTAAATTTGAACACTTTGTTTGCTTCAAAAATTTAAATGCACTTGTAATAACTATTTTATTCTAACCAATTAGTTTTAGTTTCACTTTTCTTTCTCTCCCGACTACAGTTTCCTGCCGGAATGTAAATTTACATTCCGGCAGGAGTGTGGAATTACTATGATTATTACTATTACTATTACTACTTAAATTTTAATGTAGTTAATGTAGTGTGGAAATCTAAAAGTGCTTCAGAAGCTGTATTTAGGCTGCGTTTCAAGAGTTCGAAAAGAAGTTTCTCCTGCATGTTTAGTCGGTGTCCATGTGTACCATTTTTTCAAACAGCTTTCATATTTCAAACTCATAAGGGCAATTGGCCGATAGTTGGAGGGATTCCTTGGATCTTTCCCTGGCTTAGCAATAGGAATTACAACAGCTCTCCTCGATGCACGCTCCTTCCACACTTCCAAGGAGTACGCTCCTTCCACACTCTATTGTAAAGAGTGAGAAGGGCAGTCAGTGACTTACAGGGCAGATGCTTCAGCATTTTGTAATTCACGCCATCAAGACCCGGAGAATACCTATGTGTCTGTAACAAAGCTTTCCTTAATCCAAGCAAAGTAAAGGTCTCTTCTCTATTATAAGGCTCAGATTTGGAAGAGTTGAATGCGATGGGATTTCTTTCAGAGCGCTGCTTGATAAAGAGAAATGCAGGTGAATAGTTTCTGCTGGAAAAAATGGCAGCAAATGCCTCACCAATAGTATTCGCAATTTCTTCTATTGAGCTAATCACTCGGCCATCTAGTCGGTGTTAGACATCTGTCTGTTTGTACTGATATTTCTAGGTTCGGCTTTGCTGTGTGCAGCCGATTTAGCGGTTTAATCGCTAAGGAGCCAGTCGTTCGCCATTTAAATGTATTGTGGTTCGTTACATTTTATTTTCTGTTAAATTTAAGTTAGCCAGAAGTGGTGGTGAATTGTGAACACCAAGTGCGTGCATGCGTTTATTTTAGTTCAAATAAAAAAGTTATTTAAAACCTTATTTTTCTGCAGTATCTGTTCTTCAAAGACACAGCAAGTATTCGCTACTTCATTTCCTACGTATAGTCTACGTTGTATGCTTCCAAAAAGAACACATAAATTCTATAACTAGCGCACGAGATAGTCTAGAACCACGGAAAACTCCACAATTGGCCTGGCCCTATCCACGTCCACAGCACTGGTGATTTAAGCCAACCCTATGGAAGGTTTTGGCTACGTTGTCGACACCACGAGAGCTTCGAAGAGTTCCCAGTCCTATTTGTAAAGCAAAATTCTGCCCTAATTCTGTCCTAATTCTAAAAATTCTGTCCTAAAAGTAGCAAAATTCTGCCCTAAATTTAAGGGTGAGTGAGTGAGTGAGTGAGAGACTATGGCGCAAAAACCAAAGATGATTATGGCGCGCCAAACACGAGATGGGATGATTACAATAGATGACATTAAAATTCAATAAATAAAAACAAGTAGAGAAATGTACCAAATCCAGAGGATGAAGTCATATAAAAACAAGTTAAAAGCACACATTAAAATTCAAGACACAGTCTTCAAAACAAATTACATTAGATAATAAAAGCCAGTCTCTTTTAAATAATAAAATAAATTAATATTGACCTCTCTTCCGATTAAACGGTCGAGAGGTAAGTCACAGCTATTAAAATATTTCTGACGAAGACTATTAAAACTTGGACACTCAATTAAAATATGACGCACAGATAGACAAACATTACAATTTGAACAAACAGGCTCATTCTCAGCTTTTAAAAGATAGTTATGTGTAACTCTAGTGTGGCCAATTCTGAGGCGAGTCAAAAGAACTTCCTCCTTACGATTTTTGGTTAATTCCCAATGCTCAATTTTAGGCTTTACATGTCTTAATTTATTTTGAAGCTGAAATCATCCCAAAGTTGCTGCCATTTTTTTTTCGGATCTTGTTTTTCACAAACACAACAGATGTCTACAAAAGGGATGAGAGAGACGACTGAACAGTTCAACAGCACATTTGTCTGTGATATCTGCCAGCTCATTCCCTTTTATTTCCCATATGCCCGGGAACCCAGCAGTACAGGACTTCATATCCACGACCTGTTAAGTTTATATGTAACTTAAGAATATCCACTATTACTGGATTTTGAGTGTTAGAAAAAGCTTCTAATTTAAGCGCACTATACGAGTCTGTATAAATTATAAACTTTTTGTGGCAGAGCCTTGAGATGTACAAGAGACTATAATATATCGCAGTTAGTTCGGATGTTAAGACAGAGAAATCACGGTGCAAGCGTCTGCCCTCCATGTGATCTCCATGTGCCATCCCAACATGAACTTTTGACTTGGATCCATCTGTATAGACTGGAAGATAACTGCTATATTTGTGCCTGTGCTCAGCGAACAGTCGTCTGTATACGATCTCGTTAGTGCTTGCCTTTACGTGATGTTTGAAAACATCAAGAAGCTGAATCCGTTAATTTTCCCAAGGTGGGATTTCAAAGTTCTGTACTGCTTGGGGGCGCATATCAGAGAGGGAATGTTCCTCAATGATAGGGCGAACTCTTAAAGGAAAGGTAGGAATACAGGATGGACGTGTTTCAAATAATGTATTACACTCATTATCAAGTAAGCATAGCTTATTAGGATGTTCAGGAGATAGAATATTAAAATATTGCAAAAGGGACAATTGCTCACGCCTCAGATAAAGTGATGGTTCGTTAGAGTCAACATATAGGCTCTGGACAGGAGAAGTCCTGAAAGCTCCTGAACAAATCCGCAGAGCTTGATGGTGAACAGGATCCAGTTTTAACAAAACAGATGAGCGAGCGGAAACAACTGAGCCATAATCCAGTCTAGAGTGGATAAGCGCTCTATAAATGCGAAGCATGGAACAACGCTCTGCACCCCAGGAGGTGTTCGCCAACACTTTTAAAATATTAAGTGTTTTTAGACACTTCTTTCTCAGGTTTAAAATATGAGAAAGGAAAGTCAATTTTCGGTCGAACGTCACTCCTAAAAATTTTACTTCAGGCGCAACTGGAATAATTGTACCATTCAGATATAACTCAGGTTCAGGATGGAGACCACGCTTCCTACACAGTTTTCTGTTCGGAAAAAGTAAATCCTTGTTTGGTTGACCATTCCTGGATCTTATTCAGAGCCATCTGCAATTGCCTCTCTATGTATCTCATGTCTGCCCCTCGACAGCTAATCTGTAAATCATCTACATATAGAGACCCCAAGATGGTGTGAGGAAGTTCTTTTAATACAGAGTTTATTTTTAGGCTGAACAGCGTTACACTAAGCACACAGCCTTGAGGCACACCCTCTTCCTGTTCAAAAACATTCGATAAAGCAGAGCCAATTCTTACTTGAAAAGTTCTATTGTACAAGAAATTCTGAATAAAAATTGGTAGGTTGCCGAGCAAGCCACTCTCGTGGAGATCGCGAAGTATACCGTATCTCCATGCCTTATCATACGCTTTCTCAATGTCAAAGAATATTGAGACAAGGTGACTTCTTTTGACAAAAGCTTTTCGAATAGATGTCTCTAAAAGAAGCATATTATCTACGGTCGTTCTTCCCTTTCGAAAACCGCTTTGATAAGCCTAAATTTAAGGGAACGTTTATAATCGAAATTATTCGAGAAACGACCACAGTAATTCATTAATGTGAACATCCGCTCATTTAATTCGCTTAATGTAAACATTCTTGTAATGTCCTTTATTTCTTCATTTACCATTTTATTGTTGCGTAAATAGATCAGCCGGGCGATTTTCCAAATTGAAATTTAAAATTCTGGAAATTCGTCTGATCTCTTAATAAATATTTTTTTTTTCATTTTCAAACAGGCCTGTTTATAGAATATTAGTGGCTAAATATTTCTCTACCATGCATCTCTAAATAAATAGACTTGCATTCATTGTTCAGAAGAACTGAGAGTTCAGTGTTGGAGAAATAACCTTGTCAAAAGTACCACGTGTAGCCATTTTCAGAGATGATAGCTACCAGTTACTTTCGCAGTAAGAAGAGAACTGCAACAATACCCTGAATATTAATTTAAAAGTCAAACAAAAAAAAATCAGCGCTATAGTTTCAAATTTTCACAGGACTAGTTTCGATAGTTTCACCGAACCATCATCCTCAGCTGCAAAAGCGCAAATGAACGAGATAACATATAATGATTAGATAAGATTAGAAAGCCTGGGACAGGAGATAAGCTACTGGCGCCATCTGTTGATGAAACCAGAACTAAAACAAACTGTTATAAAACTGTTATAGATTGGAACAAGTACATGCCTGAATTATGTGTGTAGGATACGGAGAATAAATCAAACAAGAAGGTAGGTGGACCAGATTGCATTGTGGAAATTGATGAAAGTTTGTTTACTAAGCGTAAAAATAATTGTGGTCGAGTATTACCCGAACAGTGGGTGCTTGGTGGTATATGTAGAGAAATAAAAGATTCGTTTGCTGTATCTGTTCCTAGTAGAACTCTCTACCCTTCTTAATAAAATTATTGAAAACATTGCAGATGGTAGCACAATTTATTCTGACAGTTGGAAAGGTTACCAAACAAATAGAATAGAAAAAGCGGGATTCCTACATGCTAAAGTTAATCATAAATACAATTTTATTGATCCTGATACATTAGTTCATAAATGTCATGT